ATTATTTAAATTGATTTACTGGAAAGCATTGGCCCTCAGTGTGACGGATAATTACCATTTACAATATATAAAGAAGCTAAGGTACCACCAAGCTAATTTTTTCTTTCGTTTTTTTTTTACCTTTGCATTTTCAAAAAAAGAAAAGTAGAACGTGCAGTGTTTTAAAACAGGAAGGGCCAGGAGACAGAGAGAGAGAGAGAGAGAGACGGACAAGCATCAATCAGGTGATTGTTTTCCACCACTGTACAAGTCGCAAGGGGTGGCAGCGGCGGCGGTTGACGTGAGCTCCCTCCCCGAAGGGGGCCCACGTGGGTACCTCTCACCTAGCCGTGGGGACCAGGTAAAATGTGCAACTCCACCCTCTACAAGCCCCACCCCCTCAGTATCCACACGCATACGCACACACATCCCCCACACACGAAACAAAATAAAAATTAAAAGCAGGGTCTTCTGTACACACGCTGTTTGGGAAGCGAAGGCCCTCTGCCCTTCTCGGCCACGCTCCTCTCCTCCTCTCCCCTTCCCCCCCCCCCCAATGCTATATTTTTCCTTCTTCCACAAAAAGACAGTTCGTGCAGGGGGGGGGGACTCCGTCGCAGTCAATCTTTGCAAGGTTTAAGCAGCAAAACCTCAACAATAGTTTTTTTAAAAAAAAAAATTAAAAAAAAAAAAGACTTGCTACGCCACAGAGCTACTGTGCTGTACCGTCCAAACTGAAGTAAACATGGACCAGAACTTGCCTTGGGTCAGTCCGTTTGTCTTTGGTATTGTTTCAAAACTTGTTAGCGATGCATAGACGCCCTGAAGGAGGGCCTGTGTACAAGTTCCAGCAAGGGACACATTTTGAATGCAAAACGTTTCCTTGCTGCTTGGGGGGGGGGGGGCGGGGGGGCAACCAGAAGGTTGGGGGGCGTCTCGCTTCCAGAGTCAGGTTTCCAGAAAGGCCAAGAAGGAAAGCGAGTTCCCTTTCTTCAAAAGCCGTCTGACCCTATGAATTGCTTCCAAGAGATCTTTGGATTGGTTTCCTGTCATCTTTTAAATCCCAAAGTTGAATGCATTCCTTTACAACGCCGCCCCCCCCTTTCCAGCTTCATGGGGGATGAGGAGTCTCAGCGTTTCAGGTGGCGGCGCTCAGTTCCGGCAGGCCGAGGACCCAGCCGGATGGGCGGAGGGCGGTTACGAGGGCGGCTTGGCGGTGTCGTTGAGGGCGGCCATCAGGGAGGGGTTCCCGTTTTCCTGCTTTGGTGAAATCCGGCTGGCCGGGAGGAGGGAGCCGCCGTAAGGAGAAGAGGCCACGCTTCCCGTGGAGGAGGGCCGCAGGTCGGCGGGAGGCAAGTCGCGCTCTGTGGGGCGCAGGCCCGGGGGCTGCAGCGGGAAGGCCATGGGGAAGCTGGCCATGTACAGCACGCGGCCCACGCGCTTGGCAACCTGCGGACAGAAATGGCGAGCTGAGATGAGACTGGGGAGAGAAGTAGGGGTTGGAGTTCTGAACAAGGCAGACAATGCATTTTACTCTCCGTGCATCAAAAAAAAACACCTCCCCTTCCTGGGATCTTGCCCCCCGCCCCCCCAGCCAAACGTTATGTCACAGTTCCATGTGACCAACAGGTCGGGCTCTCCAGGCAGGACTCGGTGGCCTGTTCTTGGCCCTCCAGAGGAACTGGTGGGCCACACTGTGAGACAGGATGCTGGAGTGGATGGGTCCTCACTGGTCTGATCCAGCAGGGCTCTTCTTATATTTTTATGGGTTCTCCCATTGAGGTCTATGTTCCTCGGCGCCCAAATTTCCCAGACGGAGGAGCAGGGTCTGATTTAGCTCCGTGACCCAACCTTCATAGTAGTGCCTCCACTTAAATGTTTTTGCTGCCACTTACAGCCCAGAGACCATCCCGTTTCGAGGCTACATTGCAGGGAGACTGGCACGGCCTGTGCCCTCCCACCCCACGGCGCATCCTTCCCACGCCCCCCCCCCTCTGCACACCACCAGGCCCAACCCTCTAGGCCACTGGTTCCCAAAGTGGGCAATACCACCCCCTGAGGGGGGCTGGAAGGAGCCAGGTGGGCGGGAGGAGCCTTGGGTGCAACTGGGGGGGGGGGGCGTTGAATAAAAATAAGGGGTGGTGGTGGAAGCATAAAGAAAGAAGAGTCCAGAACCTATCCAAGGCAGCCTTTTCCTGCCTTCTCCTGGTCTTCCCTGGGATCAGGGAGGGGAGGTGGAGAAGGGTCCCCCCAGCCAATCACAGCCATGCATTTGCAATGCACCCTTGTAAGACGAGTGTGGCTGCTGGGCTGTTGTGTGGTGGTTGCTGCGGGCCTCTGGCTTCAGGCCAACAACATCTTTCTTTACTATGTGCAAATTTGTCACTGCATCTTTTTGTCCACTTCTTGAGGGTAGATTTCCAGGGGTGCACTGAGTAGTTTTTTTTCTGAAAAGGGGACGGTAGGCCAAATACGTTTGGGAACTTCTGCTCTAGGGGCAGCGGTGGCAGCGTGTGGCGCAATAAATACCCTTTGCGGAGGCGGGGGCCGCTTCCCCCCTCCCGCTTCTGCCTCCCCTCAGCCACCAACCATCTACGTTTTGTTATATTATGTTAAAACAATAAGGGCAACTTTATTACTTTCCCTGCAGCCTTTACTGTTTACGAGGGGTCTAATAAAAAGGTTCTCTGGGCAATTGTTCCCTGTGGATCAATTCGGTAGGAAATAAAACTGATTCAAGGAGGGGAGAGGGGGGAAAAGGCAAGAAACCCAGGAGCGAGAGACACACCAGCTCTTGGGGGGGGGGGTCTCTGCAGAGAAAGGGCAGGAGATGGAGGGGGGGAGGATCTCAGCAGTAGCCGTGAAGGTTTTATAACAAACCACCCCTTCCCCAAGTTTCCCTAACCGCATAATACTCCGGTTGTTTTGGGTTAAATTCTAGCCCGTTTTTAATTGGCGCTTTAACAGGAACCAGATGTGTAGGTGCGGGGGGGGGCCTTTGGCACAGGAGGGAGGAGGGCGATTAATCCGCGTCCACATTTCTGGTTACCCTGGGGCGGGCGAGGGGAGGGACGCAGAGGGCCCCTGTTAAATGGTCGTGGGCGCAAATGAAGCGAGGGTGGGAAAAGATGGGAAACGTGATGGGGGGGAGGGCCAGGGGTCATGTGCGGAGGATGTCACGCCTGGGGGCTCGGAGCGCCTGAAGGGGACCGCATCGGGAGCCTCATTTGTCAATGTTGGCGGGAGGGCTGCTGGGGTTCTCATACACACACAGAGAGAGAGAGGCAGAGAGTCCTCTTTGGTTGGTGCAGCCCTGGGCGAGCTTTCGGGAGCTCGCATCGGTTTGTGAAGAGCTCAGTGTTCCGGCTGCAGTGCACCCGAGTTTGGGATTGGGAGGTGGGGAATGGAGCTGGGTGGGGGGGGGGATAGGTCGGAGCACGACCCTCGGCACATATGTCTGCTGCTAACAAGGGAGAGCCGGATGCCTGGCCGGTTCCACACAGGCAGTAGGAGGAGGCGGGCTGTGCTACTTGGGTTGCGAGTGAGACTCTTTTCAATTCCCCCCCCCCAAGAGCCTCATTTGCTCCCTGAGCTGCTAGTTTTCTACTCGCAGGGAAGCATATGGTGCCGGAATGTAACCTTTGAACCTGTCATCAACCCCCCCACCTCCAGGCTGAAGTCCCACCTGCTCTCTCTCTTCGTTAAGGCAGCTCCGTGAGGGGGGGGTCTCAGCCCCAACAGCTGAGGAAGGGATTGGTAGCTTAAGCCATACATGGCTCACCGCGCTCCGCTCTTCTGTGCTAGCATCTCTGCTGGACTCATGGCCTATCTTTGAACACCCTGGTCGGGTACATGAGAGAAGCCATGCTGGATCAGGCCAACAGCCCATCCAGTCCAACACTCCATGTCACACAGTGGCCAAAACCAAGGTGCCATCAGGAGGTCCACCAGCGGGGCCAGAACTCCAGAAACTCTCCCACTGTGGCCCCCCAAAACACCAAGAATACAGAGCATCACTGCCCCAGGCAGAGCGTTGCATCTAGACCTTGTGGCTGATAGCCATGGATGGACCTCTGCTCCAGATGTTTATCCAGTCCCCTCTTGAAGCTGCCTGGAGCTCTCTTACCTGTGACCTTATCTTCAGTGCTGGCCCCAGCTTCAGCCCCATGTTGTTCAGTAAGTGCTCTTCCGTCAAGAGGGGCAACGTCTCGCCGTCAATGGCCTGTTCTCGGAAGACCTGGGAGGGGAAGGGAGAGCTCAACAGTGTCCCTATGTAGACGAGCGCAAGTCTAGGAATGGTGGCTTTTGTGCAAGCTGGTCTCAAGGGGGATGCTCTCCCAAGCCTTTGCTAACTGAGGCACACGCCTTAAAGTCGGTTATGTCTCTTTGTGGGCCGCTAGAACATGGGCTTTTCAGGGTTTCAGGCAGAGAAAGCTCACTCCCACCCCCAAATTGCCCAAGATTCTGTAGCGGACAATGGCAAGTATCAACCTGGAGTCTTTCAGCAAGCAAAGCAGAAACTATGATCTGTGTCATAAACAGATTTTAAGTCTGTGTGCTCCCTGCCTGATGTGCACCCTGCCCCTCCAGGACAGAGGCTGCAGCAGCGTTTGAGCCAGCAGCCTCATGGCCAGAGTGCAGGAGGTCTCTCAAAACCCCACCTCACCTGTTGTCAGTAGTGCGCAGGGATTAGTGTTACCCTTTTTGCCCATCAGATCTGCTGCACAGTGGTTTGAGTGACAGATTGCCCTAGCCTTCCTGTGTGTGGTCGGGAGTCTAGTCTGTGCTGATGCTTAAACACACACTTGAATGTTAAAGAAATGACACTCCTTGCATGTGGAAAATCAGAAGTGTGTGGGAGGGCTGCTGTGCTATATTTCTCCTTGCAGGGAAGGTGTTTTTTAAAAAAAAATAATACAAGAGAGCATTTTTTAAGCACTGTGGTTCTCTAACTTAATGCAATAATTCCATGGCCTCCTTTATCTGCAAAATGACACAGATGTGCCGCTGACAGCTCTGCTTTTAAAAACAAAGACGTCTCTCCCCCCCCTCCCCCAGCCCCTTTTCCTTCTTTTCCATTTTATCTTCTTTTCATGGCCAGGCTCTTCCAGCAAGGCCAGGCCTCGGTTCAGCCTGTCTTCCTGCTCTGTGACCCAGCCGACCTCAATAGACTGGGTTTCTTCCCTCCTCCCAGGAGCCAAACAGCTCCCGCCTTCCCTGCACTCCAGCCGTCCCAAACCCTTTGCCCAGCTGCGGGGGATGCGACTGTGCCACTGAAGCACACAGACGGAGGGTCCCTGGGGTGAGAGTGCTGGTGTGTGTGTGTGGGGGGGGGGTTTCACTCTGTTTCCAGATTTTGCATCGGGAGACTTCAAAATCCCAAACGCAAAAGCTCTGGCAGCAGATTCTCTGTTTCTTTTTTTGCTTTTCTTGCTGGCAGGAGCGGAGGTCAGCTCTGTGCCAGACCTCCCCGGCAGCTGTGGTTTTTGGAGGAGAGAAGGCAGACAGACAGCTCTGCAGTCGCGGGTCTCCCCGGCGGGCGGGCGGGCTTTCTCACACAGTGAGAACCTGTTAAAATGTGGAGCTGCGCTCCAAAGACACAGGGAAACGCCGCCGCCTCCCTCTAACGCGCTCTGTGCCAGACCCTCTGCCTCTCTGTGCTGGCACGGGGCGGGGCGTTGACAGGGCCCTGTTTGCCCACAGAGCTGTTTGCCTGGATTGGGCTGTCTGCCATGCGCTCCGGAGGGCAACTCTGCCAGCTGCCTCTCCAGTTTTCGGCACGTTGGCACACACCGGGGAGCTTTAAGAAGCCAGTTCTCTTTTCGAACGGCTTGCCGCTCAGCTCAGCCCGTTTAGTCACGAGACCGCCGTCCTGCGTGCCATTAAGTGGGAGTGGAGGTGTCTCTGTCGGTGCCCACAGCTTTGTGCTGGTTCTGACAGAAGGCCACACCTCTTGCAAAGCAGCTTTGGTCTCAGGGTGCTGGGGGAGGGGGCAGGATGCCTGCGCTTTGCGTGGAACGAGGGAACACCACGTGACCAGCCAGCACGGAAGAAAATGAAATCGAAGCTCTGTGCCCCAGTATCCAGATGCCTTGAGAAATGCAGGAGTCTGTCTGTCTGTGACTCCATTCCCCCCCCCCCCTTTGCAGACTCCAGTCTGATTCTGCGGAGTGGGATGGTGGGGAGAAGGAACTTGGGGGGGGGGGGGGCTGCGCCCCCCCCCTGCCCCTGGAAATCTCCTTCAGCTGTGCCTCGTGGCTTCTGGGAGTCAGCAGGCCTTGCCCCGCCCACTTCAAGGCACCTCTTCGCCATCCTGAGGACCAGCGCCTTGCTAGCTGGGTGACCTTGAGCCTGTCAGACACGCTCTGCCTAACAGACTTCACCAGCTGGTGAGATTGAAACAGAGGAGGGGGGAACTTGGTGAGCCTTCTTGGGTCCACCACTGGACTTCTCCACTTCAGTACCTGAGAGGGTAGGAGGAATCACTCTCCCTCACCCAGAACGCTGTTAGCAAGTCAGAGAGAAGAAAGGCTGGTGTGACCTTGGGTCACTCACAAGTTCTCTCAGGGCTGCTCTCTCAGGAGCAGTTTCTCTCAGAGCTCTCTCAGCCCCGCCTACCTCACAGAGTGTCCACTGGGGAAGGGATCGTAAGCCACTCTGAGACTCCTTTGGGTAGTGAAGGGTGGGGTATAAATCCAATCTCCTCCTCTTCCTTTAATGCAGCATGCAGGGGGGGGGCATTAGTGCCACAGTGGGATGGGGGGGGCGGTCACAAAGGAGGGGGCATGGCCGTAGGATGCAAACTGGCACCCAGAGAGGAAATCCTGGAGTGGGACGGGGAGGTCAGCTTCTGTTGCCTGCCTTTTTAAAAATGCATTTCCCAACGGGATGGGGAGGGGACAGATTCAGCCAGGGCAAGAGAGTGGCTCCAAGCCAGGGGCCGGCCAGACGGGAGTGTGGAATCCTGACGGCAAGGCTCCACGCCATTCTGCAGCCTTGGTGGTACGCTGGGAAACTGTTCTTCCTCTCTGCTGTCCCTGATGCCTGGGACTCCCCCTCCTCCCCCTTTGCTGTGCTCTCCTTCCCTTCCAAGCCACTCCTTAAAAAAGCCACCACCTACAGGAAGGCCCCCCCCCCGACTTAAGCCAGTAGCCCCCACCCCAAACTGAAATCCTAAATATGCTTTTCTACATTTGCTCCCATCCATCCCTTGATATCTTCACTTCTCCTTGGTCTGCCCCCCCCACACACACAAAATTGTCTTCCCTGCTGCTGAACTGTATACTGGAAGCTCCTTGGGTACAGAGACTTCTTTGGCATACGAGATTCAGTAAAGAGTTGTTGAGTTGGGGAGGGGCTGTGGCCGAGCAGTACAGCGTCCGCTTGGCATGCAGAAAGTTCCAGGTACAACCCCTGGCATCTCCAGTTAAAAGCCAGTTTGGTGTAGTGGTTAGGAGCATGGACTCTAATCTGGTAGAACTGAGTTTGATTCCCCACTCCTCCACATGCAGCTACTGGTGTGACCTGGGGTCAGTCACAAGTTCTCACAGAGCTGTTCTCCCAAGAGCAGTTCTCTCAGAGCTCTCTCAGCCCCACCTGCCTCTCAAGGTGTCTGCTGTAGGGAGAGGAAGGGAAGGTGATTGTAAGCCACTCTGAGACTCCTTCCGGTAGTGAAAGGTGGGGTATAAATCCAATCTCTTCTTAAAAGAATCAGGTAGCAGGTGATAGAAAAAGCCACACAGTAAACCCTGGAGAGCTGCTGCCGGTCTGAGTAGAGAATACTGACGTTGAGGGACCGGGGGGGGGGGGGCCCAGGGGGGCTACAGGATTTACAGCTCTTCGACAGGCCGGGGAAGGCACGGGGGGGGGTTTTAAAAGCTCCCCCCGTCTTTCACAAACCCAGCCCCCCCCCCCCCCCCCCCCCACGTCCCTCTTGAGCTCCCTGCAAAGGGGCGTGTTGAGTCGGCTGGCTCTCAATAGGGTGTTTATACGAAGCAGCCTCTGGAGCTGGAGGAACAGGCTGGGGGTCTGTATGCCGACCGACTGCCCCGGGACCTCCCACTTCGCCACTTCGCCTGGCATTGATGGATGTGGCGCTGTTGGGCTCGAGGGGTCTGTGGGTTCCCCCCACCCCCACATACATGGCGTAATTAACATTTCACTTATGCAGTGCACAGTTTCCAGACAAACGGGTCGAAAGCTGGGATGGTGCACCAAACGACAATGGCTAAACTTTTTTAGTGTTATGAATGTCCAGATTTGAATGTACCGTTCCATTAAAAAGTTAATCAAATTAACTTTCAGATGACCTATTAAGAGTTCCCCTCTAGACCTGCCCCTCTGTTTCAGCCTGATCGCTTCTCTTTCTATTTAACTATTCTCTGTTAGGAGGAGGCGCCCAACGCTGCAGGAGTCACCACCATGGATCTTTGTAAACAAATCTCTGTCTTCATGCATGTAAAGGATGCTCTGATCCCAAATGATTAAAAGTGGGGAGGGGGCTGAGAATCCGGTAGGGAAAACCGAAATCTGCAGAGTCAGTCAGTCGTGACCAATCTAACACTGCAGCTGCATTTGCAGCTTAATGCCCCAGGATCTGTTTCCAGTGTGGAAACTGGGAAGTGGAAAGAGAATCCAGGAGAACGCCTCTGAGCATGTGCGGTGTTGTATTTCCTTCACTATTTGATAACAGCTGCCTGCTGCTACACACCAGGGATTTCAGGGGCTCTGGAGGTGAGGCCGTTCCATGATTGTGCAAAGGGTCTGGGGACCTGCTGAGAATAGTCCTGGTTGTAGCGTTTCCTGTCCTGGGAACCGGCTCTCATTTTTTAAAAAAGAGCAGAAAGAAGCGGGGGGGGGGGGTGGACAGGAGCACTTTGTTCAGATGCAGATCTGCATTTGTCCCGATCCTGGGACTTGGTCTTTGCCCTCTTAGCTGGTGGCTCGGAAGAGGCGCCATGAGCCGGAGGGGAGCACAACCCGGATTGGGCCCCTTGCAACATGGATCCAGGAGGCGGAGCCGGCCACGTTAATTCCAAGGACGCATCAATGGACACTTTTTCCAGGGCCGACTTGGACGGTGGCTCTGAAGCTTTGAGGGCTTTCTCCCACAATGCTGCTTTTACATTTTGACGCCCTATCCCCCACCTTCGGGGGTGAAGCGTTGGCAGACCTTACATGGGGGAACGTTGTGCCCTTCACCCAAACAAAACAGACAGAGGTCGTGTTTGTCAGTTTGGGCCAATCTTCGTCCCACAATGGGTGCATTTTTTGCAAAGGGCTTTTGAGCCATAGTACAAACTCAGAAGCCAGAATGTCCCCAGAGAACCAGGGAAGCAATTTCTCACCAACGTGAAAAAACCTGGAGACTCCAAAAAGGCAACCTTCTCATTTGGGGGGGGGGGGCAAAAGAGGAACTGAGGGTGGGGGCACTGCTGCATGGGAGCAAGTGGTCCCTGGGCGGGAGCAAGTTTCTGGCTCCGGCACACAGCGCCCCCCTCTCCAATGGCAGGCCTGCTCGTGAGCAAGTCCCCATGTGGAATTGCACAGAAGATCGATGGTGGAAAGCTGCTTATGACTGCAAAGATGTGTTTAAAAGGGGTGAGCGCAGCCTGCTGAAACCTCAGAAGCCACTGGGGTTGCTGAATGAGATTTCCAGTGCAGTGCTGGGATAAACCATGCAAAACAGGATAGATTATGCCAAATAACACCAGCTGCAAAAAGTAAATAATGCTCCATGTCCCTGCTTGTACAAGGGGCAACATTCGGCTTCCTTGGGGCACAGAGTCCCAACAGGGTGCTTTCTTCAGCTTGGGTGACTCACTGTGCTGAGTATGACCTTCCGCGAGGGCGAGCCCCTTAACGCTCGGCCTCGTTTTTCCCCGTGAAAGGAGGTGGGGACCCTTCCCTTCCACCCACCACGAGCATCGCATCGGGGAGCAGCCCGGGATTTACCTGAGCATATTCGGCACAGCCGGATAAGCTGCCCACAAAGCTGCAGACGTCTTCGACTGACCACTTGCTGACGTCTTCCAGGGCCGGGCTCTCTTCGCCATCCAGGAAGAGACCTCCCATGGTGCCTGCATGGAGGAAGCGGCAGAGGGGGGAAAGGTTTAGGCTCTAGAACCGGGGCTGGGGGAGAGAAGGGGGGACATAAATCATGGACCGGCCTCCCGGACAGCCACTGCCGGCCTCTTGCTAAGGCAATATTTCCTCCAGCCACACATCCATCTTTAATGAACTGTCAATTAAAACACCAGGCAGGGTCAATTAGCGGGCCACAGCCTCCCGGAGGGTCCTCGCCTTGGGGGGGGGAATGACAGTTGGTGGGAGTTTGGGGCGGGGGGAGCAAGGCACTGGTCCAAGTAATGACTTCAACGTGTTTTAATGTTCTTCAGCTGCAGCGGAGGGAGGGAGGGAGGGGACCCCAAAAGCAACCAAAAAAACCTGCCAGTGAGATTCTCCGTCCACGTCCGGCAGTCTGCTCGGAATAGCAAACAGTTCTGGCAACCCGCCCCTTCCCTGGAGTTCCTAATTGCTCTGCTCCTGAAGACACAAGCTCGCTTCAGAAACAGGGACGGCCCTGGACCAGCCAGAGGACGGAGCCGCCGGGATGTCCTGGGGAACACGGCTCAGAGCCCCAAGTACTTCCCCATTCTTCTCCACAGTCCTGCTGCGTGACAGACTTTGACTGAAGTGTCACCCCCCTGGCCAATTCCCTGAAGCGGAGCTTCCCCAGTGCCGAACATCTGAAGCGGTCTTATATGGAGTCAGTGCATCGATCCATATCTAGCCTGACGGTCTCTTCCAAGTGCCCCTGCAGGGTCTCTTTGCCAGCCTCTGCTGCCTGGGGTCCTCGAACTGGGGGCGGCCAGGGACCTCCTCCGTACAAAGTATGTGGCTTCACCTACTGAGCTACATCCCCCGTCTCTGACATGTGTTCCCTGACAGCGGAGAAGCTACCCTGTTTCCGAAGCACACCTCCCTTACGCTCAAAGACAGCAGGCTTCAAGGGCGTGTCAGAAGGAGAACTACCTGCTTGCAGAATAAAGGTTAGAACACTGACTCATGCAGAGATGCAATGTGCTGTCTTTTCTGGATATGGGTAATTCTGCTACATCTGAGTGACCCCTTCTGGGCACAGAGCAGGGGTCACTGGGGGAGTGGGGCGGCATGGTAGAATCATAGAGTTGGAAGGGTCCGCCAGGGTCATCTAGTCCAACCCCCTGTGAGTTTCCTGCATTGTCCAGGGGGGTTGGACTAGATGACCCTTAGAAGATACGACTGAATGTTCTGCCATCAATGCAGGCTGATTAACGAGGTTGTAGGGGCATGGCGTTGGGTCGTGCAGAGGCACACCGGGCAGCCTCTTTTGTCATCCAGGTCCCATTACGTTTGGGTGCTGGGTTCTTGGGAGCCCTTAATCGTTTGACTCATGGCACAGTGTCTGGGGAATTACCAGCCTGAGGGTTCGTTCTGACCTTTCTGCCACCACCGGCTTACACCAGAGTGCCCAATACCATGTCTGCAAAGGGCTATCTTGGAGGGAGGAAAGAGCTTCTAAAAAGAACCACAGCTTTGCTTTTCGGGTATGGGCCAAGTCAGAATAAAAAGCTGGGAACAGAAATGCTGGCCTTTTCCCTAGAGACAAGAGGCGAGGTCACCCTGCTTTTCCTTGCCTGGTGCCAGCACCCCCCACCCCACAACTGCTTGCAAGATTGCTGCTTGCTGGGACGGGGGGGGGGGTGTCATCAGGGAAGCCTGTGCAGGAACAGACACGGCAAGAGGAGCCGGTGCGGAACACCTGCAGACAGAGTCGGCCCTGGCACAAGCACATGGTCAGGGCTCCTTGGTTCAAGAAAAACCCGGCATGTGGGCCTTGTACTACCCCGTCTCTGTTTCATGCTGGGGACAAACTCTGTGACGGACAATTCCCTGTGATGGCAGACAGCTCACTAGACAACAGATGGGGAGACCTGCGTTCAAGCTTTCATTCGGTCATGAAGCTCCCTGGGAAACACTGGACCAGTCGCTCAGCGTCTCAGTCTCACCTACCTCACAGGGCAGATGTGAGGATAAAAAACAGGGCGGAACAAGCGCGTCAGCTGCTCTGAGGCCCCTTGGGGGGGGGGGAAATTCAATCAAGAAGGGGCGCCCTGCAGCTGTCTCCTCGGTCTGAAAAACCGAGACACCAAACTGTAAAATGTTACCTACTCCTGAGCAGAGTTAGGTTGGCCATCGGAACTTGAACATCTGCAAAACTCTTGCATACTGACTGAGATGACCCAAGGAAAGATAAAACTGAGTCTTCTCAGCGGCTCCTCAGACAAAGGAGTCGATCCAGGAGATTCCTGGTGGGTTTCCAGCGTCAGCAGTGAGACCTTGAAGATGCTTTTTGTGCCAAATGCTGGGGAGGAGTTTCTCTCCCCCCCCCTTCCCCAAGGTTTTGGAAGAGCAACTTTGGCCTGGTAAACAGAGGAAGTGGAACTGGACTCAATGATTCCGGGCACAGCTGACGCTCCGGCGAGACGCCTCCATCTGCAGCCGGAGCGAGCGTCTCCAAGGGGACCTGGCAGTAACAGCCAACTGATTTCAAATATCCACTTCCTTCGTCCAAAGGCAGGCCAAGGATAGCAGCTTGCCGAGGGGCTGGGAACGGAGCCTCCTCCGGTTGGCTCCCCGACGTGGGCCCTGACTCACTGGCGCTGCATTGGTAGGAATGCTCTCTGGATCCACAGGGTAGGGGAGTGTTCAAATCTAACAGGGTGGCGGTCAAAAACCAGGGAGGGGGCAGGAGCAAGGTCACCAGCGTCCCCTCCTGGAACAGTTCTGTTCTGAGCACAAGCCGCCAGATGTCGGAACGGCACTGTTGTTTTGGCCGATCCGGTTGCTGCCGGCTACTTCTCCAGCCAGACAGCTTCGTGGAACGGCAGGCACCACCAGAGGTTGAATGACTGCCACACACGTGGACTGGGGGGGAACCTGAAATCCTAGCCTGGAAAATTACAGCCACCTGGCCGACTCACCTCGGCACTAAGTCAGGTCAAAGTGCTGTTCCCCGAAGTCTGAGAGTGGGGCGCACTTTCTTCCAGAATTAACAAGGGGAGCACAGTCACACTCAGATTCATTTCTAAAGCATGAAAGAGCTAAAGTGTAGCCCTGACCTGGATAGCCCAGGCGAGCCCCATCTGGTCAGATCTCGCAAGCTAAGCAGGGTCGGCCCTGGCTAGTTATTTGGATGGGAGGCCTCCTTGGAATACCAGCAGTCGGGAGGTGGGGGCAGGCTTTATTCAGCTACCTCTCTGACTATCCCCCAGTAGGAGCCAGTCACCAGAGGTCACCATGACTTCCAGGTGCACACACACGCACATATGAAAAATACCACCACCACCACCCCTCAAAAGGAGCTAAAGTATAAAAGTGACTCCTGCAGGGATGAAGCGGCATGCTCCCCTGAAGTCAGGGAATGTTGCTGCGTCTCTGCCTTGGGAGTGGCTGAATGTTCCAAACATATTCAAATGCAGAGATGTGGCGGAATTACACCCAGCGGTGGAGGCCAGTTGGAGAAAGGCAAGCACAGAGCAGTGAATCATACAGAGATACAGGGGCAAGCCTCTGTGGAGGAACACTTTTAGGTGGACCTCTGTGGTTGCTCATCCTCGGCAAATCCTAGTTGTCCTAGTTGGGAGTTCTGACGCA